ACACAGTCTGAAGGACCTGGCCATCCCCACAGAGCTGCAGCTCCCTGCCTTTTCTTTCATGTCAGCAGATCAAAAAAGCATGCTAACTAAGTGGCTGAGCACAAAATCAAGTGTCCTAGAAAGGTCGCTACTCATTAATCTAATCACAGTGTAACAGGAAATGACTAAATGACTTAAGAGGATTAGTGAAGCAGAAAGTAATGTTCTGGTCACCAAAACTTAATTAAGCAACACTACTAGCACCACTCAGAATGGTTAGTACAGGCCAAAGAAACACAAGCACAAGAAATTCTAGACACAGCCACTACGTGCTGAATGAAAATCAAATGAAATCCACTGACCCATTTTTATTTTGATATTTATAATTCTAAATTTAAACCACTGGAAGTTTAGTACATGAGTCACAATGATTCAAATGCAACATGATTAAAAGCATGTTAAGATTCTAAGAGGTCCAAGGCAATCATTAACAGAATGGTTCTAATGCTTGATAATTTCTTTAGCTCTTCCTCCTCAGATACAGTAAAAGCTTCGTAACACAGAATTATCTCTACAACATGCTTTTCTTTCTCTCTCTCTCTTTTTTTTTTTTTTTTTTGAGTTGGTAAAGAAAGTATCCAAAAGGAAAAACAGAAAACTTTTGCCCAAGTAAACTTTTGAGAGACTCTCTGGGGAAAAAAAAAAAAAAAAACCACACAACTAAAAGATTAAGTAAACCATCTTACAGAACTGCTAGAAAAACACCAAATCCCTATTAACCCTACAGCTGTCTTATGCCATTTGTTCCCAAGCAACTTTTCTATAGGAAGAGATAAAGATTAAGGAAAATACTCCCTTGCCTTGCCTTGTATTACCAGGACATGTCCAGGTTTTCTCCTTGCCTTGTATTACCAGGACATGTCCAGGTTTTCTCCTTGCCTTGCCTTGCATTACCAGGACATGTCCAGGTTTTCTCTAAGGGCTGGCAGAATCCACCATCAAAGGCAAGCTGTCACATAAGCACCCTCACAGCAAGTGCCAGGACAAGGAAATACGGTCATTGTTCACGCCCTACAGATCCTCTGACACTTACAAAAGCTGGTCAGAGAATTCCCAAACATAAGGAAAGAACTTCAAAAATCTGGAGAACTGGAGAGTGCTGTAGTTGCTACAATTACTCCTGCAGTTGGTACAGTCTAAAATGGACCGATATGAACCAACTCCTACAGTCTGGTATGCCTCATGAATCTGACGATTAGTAGTGATTAGTAACCAAAGCTGGCTGCTCCCTGTATGTTCCAGGCAATAACTGGGGACTTGCATCAGCTCAAGACCATCTTCTTGACGCAACCCAGCCAGTCTGTCTGGGAAAGCAGGAAAGCAGACTGGTCCAAAATAACCATAAACAGAAGGAGGGGTAACCTCCTGCAGACTACATGGACCGCCTAAAGGAAGCGTTTAACAGACATTCTGGTATAAACTATGATGCTGAAAATGCACCAGAAGCTGTGGCAGCTGGCTTTGTTCAAGGACAGCAATTCAAAATTCAAGAGTAATTACTGCTTATTGCCATGGAGGGGCAGACTAAGCCTCTTATTTAGCCTTTCACCAAAGCTAATCACAGCAATACACACCTGGAGTGCAAAGCGACCAAAGGAGAAGCTGAACTCCTAGCACTGCAAATCCAGCACGTTAGTCCTAGAAATATTAGGAGATAGAGAAAAGCTACAAGAGGCTTGAAAAAACAGGAACTATGGGAAGAAGCTGCAATCAAGGATTTGGGAGACATGTCAGTCCTCCTGATAATTCCTGTCATTATCACAAGCAAGGACCCTGGAAGTTAAGATGCCCTTACAGACCTCTGTGCAACCTGTCTGTCCAGCAACATTCAGTAACCTCATCTTTTCACCTAGCCCTTCCTCCATGTCACAGTCTCAGCAACGCAGTTCAGACAGTCACTTATATCACTCTTAAGGAGATTGTTTCCTGTACAGTCAATACTGGTGTCTACTAGGCAGTAAATGCTACTGGTATTTCAGGATAACCAAATTAAAGACACTGTAACAATCTTAGATAAATTAGCTGAAGAAAAACATTTTGATTAGTGGGACTGACTCACAGATCTAGAAGGACAGTTTGAAATACTGCTTAAGACATTTATATCTCATTTTAAGGCGTATGTTTCATAAGGACTATTGGTTTTACTATTTGTGGATATATTGGTTACATTCTTTTAACCCCACGTTGGTACAAATTAATGTATTTGGGGTAATGTATAAAGGGATGAAAAAAAAAAAGGCATAACTCAAGCAGAGGCCAGAACAAGGGTAAGGAAGAAGAAAAATAAGTGCTTGTGCTATCCTGGCTTCCCAGGAAGGTGTGCAGGGCATCTGCAGCAATTCCACTATACTCTAGACCTCTTTAAGGGAAAGATGAAATGAGACTAAGTCTCAAAGAGGGGAATGCAGAAGTGAAATATTAGTGCTTCATAGGCCTGTGCAGGCCTGTCTAGCAAAGAAAACACTCGCAGCATGACCTAATGGCACTGACAAGTCAGTATGACTCAGTTACCAAATAAATGTATTGTTTGCAAAAGAAAGTACTGTCTGTACTGCTAGAGATCCTTATCCGTGACTCCTCCTCCCTGTTTAACACATCCCTTTAAAATATGACACATAACTGCAGCTCTGTGAAGAACAAGTCACCTAACCCAAAGGCAGTTTTTACTGCCTCACCTGGGCAGAGTTCAAGGTAGCAGAGTCTGTCACTGCTACTCTGGGTTCCCCCCTATAGCTACAGCAACAAAACTCTATCCTGACCCAAACCTAGATGGTATCTATCTCTTCGCTGGCACTAGGCTGCATGTCCTGTCCTGAGCCATGGCACCCTGCATATGCTGGGGGACATGCTGCTGCTCCTAAAGCCCTACCACACCGTGCCACAGGGCAAACCAATCCCACCTGATGCAAAAACACAATTACAGCTACAGCCTGGATTTTAATTGCTTCAAAGTTTGTTAACACACACATGAACAGGTCTCATTTTTCTGTTTCACATGATCAGCCTTTTCCTTGCTGTCTCCTCACACTGTACAACTTAGCTCCCTCTAAACAACAACAAATTCAGTTACCCAGACAGATTATACAATTTTGCTGCAGAGCAGTAAGTCACTTATTACAAATCACGAGAAAGAAACTATACAGCTTTAGCTTCATAAAAAGCTTATGTAAGTTCTAAAAAGTAATCAACGCTTCCATGTAGTGTAAAATTTGAATAAAACTTAGAGATGTGAAGGTAAATGCCTAGAGCTCATATTTTAAAATTGTGAAAAAAATCAAAACCCATGAAGTAATTGATGCAGAAGGTACTGCTAAAAAAAAATGCATGCTTGTATCACTTTCTCTGGTTTTGTTAATCAAACATTCAGTCTTCCTAAAACTTACATAAACATCCTGCATTTATTAATCATTCTGCCAAAAATATTATACGTTTCTCAAAAAATATGACGTATGACTCCTCCTTCACAGGTCATTATCAACAAACATTCATGCAGTACACGGATTAAGTTCAGTAGCTACAGTACCTTACGTAGAGGCACAAAAAACAGCACAGTACTGTGCTCAGCAAACAGCTACTCTATTTAATGATTTACAGGGAAACATAAGAAAAACAAATACTAAATATTATTATACACAAGTATGCTAATACCAGCAATAAGTAGCTTTTTCTGTTGCACATGAATAATCCCCCTAGAATGAGCACTGCACAAATGCATTGCAGGACAGAGCTGTGCTTGAATGGTCTGGAAAACCAGGGCAAGGGAGTGATGAAGTAGCTTCCAGCAACTAATGGGAAGGGCGTTGAAGAGACAGCTAAAGCATTCTCTCCAGCATCAGACGTGACACAGGGCCATGAACGCTGCCTGAGGTTCAGATGGGTCAGACTGTGCCTTCGGAAAAGCTTCTCAGCCGTGAAGGTAGCAAGGCACTGAAGAGGCCTCAGAGTACAACAGTGAGGAAAAGCCCCAGCTTCCCTCACGCTGCCCTGCTGATGGCCCTGCTTTAAGCACTGAGCTGCAACAGGCAACTCCCCCCCACGCCTTTACAGTCAACAGCTCTAGAAACATGTCCTGTTTCTTGAGTCCACATTTCACTTTTCTCAGCAGATATCCTGCTCAGGACTGCAGAGGTAGGACACGTAAGGAATGCCATGCCACACTAAAACAGTGAGAGAGGGGGAAAAAAAATAAGACACCCTAATCCTTAGGCTTCTCCCTATTAAGGAACCCTCAAACGATGCTTAAGATAACCCATTCTTTTGTGCATTTGCATCGAATTCACAAAGCCTCCACACTAGAAAATTATTCCAGGTACTAGCTCTTAGAAATCATCCTTTTAAATCCTTAGAACCACTATGCATTTAAATGCTTTAGAAGCAAAATCTCATTTACAACTGAGGCTTTCAGGGCTTTTTCCAGGTGCCTGAGCCTCACAACGGCAGGTTGTGCTCAAGGGATCCCCACACATGGCATCCTATCGAGAACTGTAAGCTCTCTAGGAAAACAGGCACAGTCCTCTTCCAAAACAAAATATATCTATAAACAGATATACACACATTGCATACATATATGTATAACATATACATGTACCAACGACCAGACCCATGGACATTCCAGGCCCCAAGTACTCCAATAACAGCTGGAATCACTACACACACAGTTCCCAGCAAGCACGCTGCCACTACAATCAGGCTTTTCTCACTCAATTTACCAAAACTTCAGCAAGTAAACCCATTTCGCTTAGGCAGCTGAAGGGTCAGTTACCCTACTTACTGCAGATTTATTTAAAAAGAAAGAAAGAAGGAAAAAAAAAAATCGCCAGGAACAGCAGCCGCACGCGCGGCCAACGGCCGCCACGCGCAGCCAACGGCCGCCCCGCGGCTGCGCAGGCGCGACCCGCCCGCAGCGCGACCCGCCCGCGGCGCGGCCGCACTGCGCAGCCGCCGGCCCCGCCGCGCCTCACCCGCAGCGCCCGCACTGGGGCCGCCTCTCGCTGCGCTCCACGGGCAGTTCCCACAGGCCCGCGCAGCCCTCGCGCTGCTCCTGCTCCTGCTGCTGCTCCTCCTCCTCCTCCTCCTCCTCGTCCCTGCTCTCCGCCGCCGC